TAGCAACTAGAATTGGAAATTTATTTTTTTTGTAATGTGCATGATTGAGTCACTATGCAGTGTGTACTGGATGGGAGATCGCATTTTTTGTGCTGTGATGATGCCTAGGGAAGGAATGTAAATTGAGTTACAAAAAAAAGTTTCAGGAAAACAAAATGTATCTATTCAATGACTGCAGTAGGATATGTAGCCCCAGTTAGGTGCTACTTTATAGGATGTGTAAAGTTAGACTTGTGCTCATGGAAATGTGTGTGTCACATGTGTTTGCTAGGAGGGTATTTGGATTGATGAGGGGCTTTGGTGATTCAATAAAATGTGGGGGGAAAATGGTGTAGAAATAGATAACAGAGACAGTGTGGGAGGAGAACAGGAGGTGGCAGAGGGTAAGAGAGAGGGAACCAAGGATGGGGGGGAAAAAGCAAAACATACAGAAAACAAGAAATGGAAGATCATTTGCTAATAATAACATGTTTGTTGATGTGCTTGATTGAGACAATATACAGTGTACTCTGGATGGAAAATCTCATTTTGTATGCTGTAATGATGGACAGTGAATGAATGCAAATAAATAAATTGGGGAAAAAAAAAAAAAAGATTCACATGACTGGGAACCAGCAGTTAGCATAATGGCTATGTCGCTGGACTCCCACATAGTCGACCGCGGTTCGCGTCTCGGACCCGGTAGCTTAAATCTCACGCCGGGTGAGTGTGCGTGCATGCCCAAGATCTCGAGAGGAGAATGGAGGAGAAGGGATTGCGGTGTGACCATCCCCCGTGGGGGTGATTTCTCGCTTTCTGTCTCTATGTCTCTCTCTGTCTGTCTGGCGAGCACACGCGCCCTATAGCGAAAACCTCTCCAAAAAAAAAAAGATTCACGTGACTTTTAATGATTCACATGACTTTTAATGATTCATATGACTTTTTGACGATCCACCAGACTCATACAATACTAAAAAAGCATGCAGCTACCTAGTATATCTAGATTTACATATATTCATAACTTTCATATTTAAAAATGAACAAACATAAATTTTGTATTCCTTAAAAAACTGTATGCTTTAAACTTTTCTCATTCTTAACTGAATTAACTAATTGCTATATACTTATCAATATAAAAATACTAAGGTAAATTTAATATTTCCATAGAATCTTTTATATTAAAACTAGTATTTCTTAATAATACAACAGAACCTTAAGTACTAATACATGCCCATAAAATTTTCTTTAATAACTGAATCATTTTAAAGTTGGACTAGAAGCCAAAATCCTCTAACTAGAAAGTGTCCTTTTCCTGTTCTATTTCTTTTCTGAGAAAAAAAGAGGTCGAAGGTATAACTGCTTGAAAGTCTGCTCACTCAGTCCTGAAACTCTAGCTTCAGACCTATTCACAATTTTGGCTCAAACGTTTTGCAATGAATTATTAATGCATTAATGGCTTAGAAATCCAAGGAGATAGGGGCTATGAGGTAAATTGGAAACAGAATGGTAGTTCAGAAGAATACATTTTCGAATCTATCCAAATAGATAGTATGCTATTATACCACCTGACATACCTTGGAAGATGGCGGTTCTGGCCAAAAGGAAGCTGGCTGGTTCTTCATCTTCTTGGTATCTCTGAGTAAGTCTGACAAACAGAGCTCTCTGCACTGCAGGAAGGAGCCCTGGTGCAGGTAGAGGGCCATGGCCAGTTCTGTTACTGCTGCTGTCAGACCCACTTCCATGGTTAGGCAACTCTTGAACAACAGGAGGCTGCTGCTGGGCAAATTCCCCATGCCACATCCCATCTACACACATAATATGGGAAGAGACAGACACTGAGTGAGTACAGAGCCCCACCAGAGGTATGAGGAACTGAAGCTCTAGTAACTATATTTGACTAACAAATTATATAATCAAAACTATTTTTTTAAAGTTATGTAAAGTTCTATTCTTTTTGAAGTTTGGCTAAATTAAAAACTTAAATATTCGGGACTAGCAGATAGCATAATGGCTCTGTTGCTGGACTCCCATGTAGTCGGACCATGGTTCAAGTCCTGGACCCGGTGACTTAAACTCATGCTGGATGCATGTGCATGCGTGCCCAAGATCCCAAGAGGAGAATGGAGCAGAAGGGATTGCGGTGTGGCCAGCCCCCCAGGGGGTGATTTCTTGCTTTCTGTCTTTCTGGCAAGTGCACATTCCCTATAGCAAAAACCTCTCCAAAAAAAAAAAAAAAAACTTAAATATTCAATTTTAGCAGGTTTACTTAGTTTTATTTAAAACATAAAATCCTGGGACCAGCAAATGGCGTAACGGTTACGTTGCTGGACTGGCAGTTCAAGTTGACCGCAGTTCAAGTCCTGGACCTGGCAGATTAAAACTCACACTGGGTGTGTGTGCATGCCCAAAGTGCCAAGAGAAGACTGGAGAAGAAGGAATTGCTTCATGGCCATCACCGCTGGGGGTGTTATTTCTTGCATTCTTTCTCTCCAGCAAGTGCATGCACCCTATAGCAAAAATCTCTCTTAAAAACAAAAACAAATTTCATAAAATCCTATGTTTTTAATAAAAAGTAGGACTTTAAATATTTTAAATTAGAAATGAGTTATTTAAAAAAGTAAACTTACCACCGGAGTTACTGGGTGGCTGAAAATTATGTGCAGCATGCTGTGAATAGTAATTATCATAAAACTCAGCTGAGTTTTGAAGAGATTCATAACTGGTACTGAGCTGCACTTCACCAGGATTTTGCTGGTATGATGAACTGGGAGAACAGTGATTCTCTCTGGGCACTTTCATCACATGTCCTGGAAAGCCTGGGGAGTGGTAAGCCCCACCCATACTCGGTGGTGTCAAAGGTGTATCCGGTTGAATAAGTACTCCAGCTTGATTGTGAGGGCCTACAATTTCAGGTGGGCCAGGTGGCAAAGGTGGGCTCTGTGGCATTGGTAAACCAGGAGGTCCTGGACATGAGTAATGTCCAGGGGAGCCTGGGTGCATCACAGGACTATTGCATTCCTGAGACATATTAGGTCCAGGACCTGGACTTGACCCAGAACTGTAGATATGCTGAGGGTGTGGGCTGCTTCCCTGAAACTGTGGTCCTGGTGGTGAGGCACTGTTATAAAATGCTGGTGGCCTGTGGGTAAAAAGAATATTTCTTAGCTAAAGTAAAGAGACAAATAAGAATGTTACACTTCTACATAGATATTAATTGAGTACATTTTTCTATGTTAGATTAGAATACTATGTGTTTAAGTAGTAAGGCATTCCATAACATCTATTGGTAGAATAACACATAAGCCTCTTTCTTTCATTTTAGCCCAGTTTTTTTAAATTGCGGCTTACTATCAGCTGTTCTCAAACTTATTATAGATAATACTGAAAAATATGGAGATATACAAAGATAAGTAAGAATCACCTCTAATTTCTCCATCCAGAGATATGTATTTTGATTATTTCTCTGCTAGTCCTTTCTCGAGGCATATATGGACCTTCTTTTTACGACATATTTTCGGGTTGTCAGAAAAGTCATGACATATTTTTCTCTATATTCTTCTATGCAAAAATGTGTCATGACTTCTCTGACGACCCACTATAATTATATAATATAAAAATACAACTTTTGGTCACAATTTCTAATTGGTTATTGCTGGCATATAAAAAGACTTTTTTAGTTTTTGAATTTGAATGTGTTAGTTGATTCCTTTGAGTTTACTGAAGGAAACTGCCAAATCAATGAGTCAGCCTCTACTTCTAATCTTTTATTTTTTTATATTTTTCTCTTATTTCATTGACTAGGCCCTTATATACAATATTAGCAAAATAGTAGACATACTTGTCTGCTTTTGACCCTAATAGAAACACTTAATGATTCACATTAATTGTGACTTTTTATATTATTTCTTGTTCCTCACTTGCTGAGATCTCATTGCTTCCTAGAGCACTCAGAGTTAAAAGAATAATCAACAACAGGACCTAGGGCCGAGGTGCACAGACCTGGGAATGAGCAGGAAGGCTGGAAGGTGACATTAAAAAATCCAGCTTACCCATAAGTCCTCCTCTAAAAGTCTAAAGAAACATAAGCGTTCTTCAGAAAGTGAGAAATGTGTATTATGACAAAACTATGCGAAGATTTAAAAAATTCTTTGCACCAAAATAAACTTGTACTTTAATTCCATTTTTCTGTGAATTCTTTAAAGTCCCCTCGTACTTTTTAAGAAGAAACAAATATGCTAGAGACATATTATCCATTATTTGGAAACATCAATGACAGTGCAGTCTCATAAGCACATGGGAAGAATGGCAAATCCATCCACTTGGCCGTGTCTTTCAGGATTACAGTATTGAGAGGTTTCTGAAGCTGTGTAAGAATTTTGTACAGAAAAGCCCTGATGGCATGCAGCGAAGGGTGGAAACAAAGAACAAGGGGGAACAGCAATCTGGATGTATGACACAATTTGCTATCCCTACGTAAGTGTAAGTACATGGTAAACTTGGAATATAAGCTAGTTTCTTAATAAAAATTTTAGGAAAAAAATTTCTTCCATTTCCAAAGGTAACTTACTTTTTCCCAATTTTATGTGCTAAATCCACAGTAGGTTTTACAACTATTTCAAAAAGAGATGGAATTTTCTTGAAGTCATCAGAGAGATCTGTCTGAAAATCATCTTCAGGATCAGAAAACGGAAAATGCTCTGGTGGAGTTGGCAGGAGCCCAACTCCTGGAGGTGGTTTGGGAAGAGGTGTTATGCCACGCTTTCTAAGTTCTTCCAATTCTCTTTCATCTTCATTTATAAGTTCTTCATCAGCATTCAACACCTAAAAATAATTGGCAAAGATATTACTCTTTCAGAGCCTGCGCCTTTGGCTGCAGCTGCCTGGTACATCTGAAGGCACCTGGTGAGCAAGGGGGCAGGCTGCCCCCACTGCTTCCCTTCCAGACCCCCAGTCCAGGACCCACCCAGACCCCTAGACAGACCACATTACTAAAAACAACAGAACAGAGAATTCGGCAGACGTCAATTTCCAACAAAAGAGAAAGACACTCCTAGCCAGTGAAACATTCACCTGACAGGTACTTAAAAGTCTGTACATCTTCCAAATGGCTAGAAGTAGAAGAGCCTCCAGTATGAATAAACAAGGAAATATATCTCCATCAAAGGTACAGAGTAACCCCCCCTCCATCATCAGGGCTAATGGACGATGTTACCAAGATGTCAGACAAAGAATTTCGAACATTTATGGTGAACAAATTCTTCGAATTGGAACAGAAAAGAGACAATGAACTACAGGAGATGAGAAAGTCATTCCAAGATACGAAAGAAGAAATGGACACTCTAAGAAAGAACCAGATGGAGCTATTAGAGATAAAGTCTGGAATAGAGGAAATCAAAAACTCCCTTGAAAGTATTAAAAGTCAATTAGATCATGCCGAAGATTGAATCTCTGACCTAGAAAGAACCACGAAGATAGAGAAAATAACTAAAAAACACGAGGATAATATACGAGAAATACTAGATTCCATAAGACGCCCAAATATCAGAATAATTGGTATCTAAGAAGGTGAAGAAACCAATAACGGCGTGGAAAATCTATTCCATGAAATCCTGGAAGAAAATTTCCCGAGTCTAGAGAGGCACTCAAGTATCAAGACCCAAGAAATACAAAGGACCCCAGTTAAAATCA